TTATTTCTATCATTTCTCTCATTTTCAACTATAGATCCCTGGACCTAAAAATGTGAATTTGTAGCAGAACATAAAGTCAGAACTACAAAGTTGTGAATTTGTAGCCCGTTTGATCATAATCTTGTTCACAATATTTATTGAATAAATTGGTTTTGCTGATATGTGTTTAAGATATCTAAAAGGGTTGAATTATCTTAAATATAAATAAGATCTGCTCTTAAATAAATTAGGTATGGGTAAGATAAATAAGGTCTGTTATGTTTACACTGTTTTTTCATTGCTTAAAAAGTCTGTTTTCATTGCTTAAGAATTCTTTTTCCATTGCATAAGAAGTCTGTTTTTCATTCCTTTAAGAGTTTTTTTTTGGGCTGCTCTAGTGTGGCTATCTTCCTTGTTTCTGGGTTAAGTTGAGATGCAGTTTAGTTGTGCCAGCACTACATACAAAAATAGCAGAATCCTGGCTTGCCTTATTGGTAGTACAAACTTAGTGGACAGTAGGTCTTGTGGCTTCCTTGATTTCTTTTAGTAGTACCATTGCAACGGATATATTTGCCTTTTGGCGGGAAGGTTTTTGGTAGGACTCCGCTTTCGATTATTACCCCAAAGAAGACTTGGGAGGGAGCTCTAACATGTCTTGCTAGTTCCATAACCACTACTGCACTATTGTCAAAGTTAATATGCTGGCCTACATCTATGCTTAGTGCATTGGCTTTTGGGATTGTGAACTTTTTTGGATCATTTTTTGGTGACCTTACGGAGTCAATGATCAAACGTGATGCTGGTGCGAAAGTCTCGAGACACCTTATCCCTGGACATGGTGGAATACTAGACTCGAGATCCCTCATCCCTGGACATGGTGGAAAGCTATATAGTCACAGGAGGCCTAATTTATTCTTTCATTCAAATATGTTTGCCACTTTATTTAGTTAATGAGATGAGAAAAATCTATAACCGTCTTGCACACATAAATTTATAACATGGAATGCACACCGTTGATGAAAAAATCTACCCATCAAAGTATTGGCACCACACAACTCACCCGGGCCGGTCCCGGGCCTACCATTACAAGACCCGAGGCCCGATCGGGCCTTGACCCGGCCCGGGCCCGACCCGGCCCGGGTACACTTTCAGAATGTTAGAATATTGTAATGTCACTTATTGAATTTTCAGTGTTGGGGAACATTTATGTTAATTAGTGGTGGACCCGGTTCGGGCCGCCCGGCCCGTCACTGTACGGGCTCGGAACCGGCCCGGTTATCGGGTCCGGGTCCGGTTCGGGCACCGAACCGGTGGGAGAAGCGGGTCCGGGCTCGGGTTCTGTTTTTGGTGGCCCGGCCGGGTCGGGCCCGGGCCTAACGGTCATTTTAAAAAAAAAAAACAATTGTTTTAATTTTAAAAAACACATTTTGGCTCAACAGCCACTTCCCAAACGGCTATATAGCCGTTGGGGGGGGTACCAGGGGGGTCCGGGGCGTTTGGGGGGGTGGGGTGGGGGTGGGGGGTGGGGGTTAAAAAAAACGTATAAATACTTCTAATTTTAAACATTTTTTCACACCTCTTCTCCAACTCTCCCTAAATCCTACTCTCTACTCATCTCCAATTCTCCATATTCATCTTCTCAAATTCTCTTATTCTCCTTTATATTTTATTTTACTATTTAATACTTATACAATTATTATATCTACTTATATATTAATTATCTACTTATAAATACATATACTATATTACTTATATTTCTTATCTACTTAATCTCTACTTATATTTCTTAATACATACATACATACATACTACATCTACTTAATATATACTTTATAAACTATTACTATATACTTAATACATAATAATATCTACTTCTCTACTTAATAATATCTATTTTATATATACTTATTTTATAATATCTACTTTATATATACTTTATAATATCTATTTTATATATACTTATTTTCTTATTTTCCAATCTCCAATTCTCCATTATACTCTAATATTTAATTCTTATACAATTATTATATCCACTTAATACATACATTCTACATCTACTTAATATATACTTTATATATTAAAGTATAACATATAAGTGTATTACTCATCTTATAGTAGTATACTTATATATTATATACTACAAACATTATATTATATATTAGTTACTATAACTAGTATTGTACTAGTTAATTAGTTAATTAGCATTCTTGTTACATTTATCATTATAATAGTTAATTAGTTCATTACCATTATTGTTACATTTTTCATTATACTAGTTAATTAGTTTATTAGCATTGTTGTTACATTTTTCATTATACTAGTTATTTATTAGTATTAGACGTATTTGGGGTAATGGTCAACTTAGATTAAAATGGCAAACTTATTTGACTGAAAGAGGTGTGAGATATGTTGCTTTTCCTAAAGATTTGAGTATTCGTTGGAATAGTACTTATAAATTACTTAAAGTTGTTCTTAGATATAAAGAACATTTTCCTGCTTTTTTAAAAGAACATGATAACTATATTATAAACGCGGCTGAGATCGACACTTGCGAAAAAATTTGTAATGTTTTGATATTTTTTTTTAATGCTACTGGAACTTTTAGTCATGTTTATAAACCTACCGCAAACCAATTTATTCCACAAGCTGTTAATCTCGCCGATGCTTTTAAAGAATTTCAGAATGCCGTTTTCGTTCATTATTTTTGTGATTATATGAAGGAAAAGTTTTTAAAATATTATGCGCATATTCCCCATATTTATGGTATTGCATTTATTCTCGATCCTCGTTATAGACTTGCTAATTTGTAAGATTGTTTCAACTTCTATTATCATGCGTTTTTTGGTGAATTTCCAATGTATGACGATAACCCCATAGATCCGAAAACGGAATACAACGAGGTTAGTACTTTATTTTATGCCTTATTTAATGAGTTTCGTGCACAATATAGCAACGCTCCCCCTCCCCCGTCACGAACATCTTCATCTAAAGGAAAATCGATTTTTAAATCTGCATTTGGCAATCTTATGAAAAAAAACAAAAACAACTCACGTCACTGAACAAAGTGCATTGAATGAGATTACTTTGTATTTAACATATGAAGTTGATTTTGAAGAAAATGATGACTTTGACGTTCTAGACTGGTAGAAGTCAAAAGAAAGAACGTTCCCGATTTTAGCACGGATGGCTAAGCAAGTACTATCAATGCCGATTTCAACAGTTGCTGTGGAACAAGAATTTAGTTCGGCCGACAACGTCCTAACGGCATCTAGATCGAGATTGAGCGCGGAGTCTCTTGAGACGCTTATATGCTACCACGATTGGTTGAAGGCCGCACGTAGAACTCAAGAAATGAGCATCACCTCCTCCCAAGATTTTATGGATGACTCAACAACCGATGGTGGCTCTACCTATGCCGGAGATTCCGATTGATTAGTATTTTACAATTTATTATAAAATGTATTTTATAGCACTTGTCAAATTTATTTATACTTGTACTTCATATTTCAAAATTGTAAACTTGTACTTCATATTTCAAAATTGTAAATTTGTAGTTGTACTTCAAATTAATTTGTAAACTTGTACTTCATATTTCAAATAAATATGTGTTCACTTTTTCATATGTAGCACTTCTCAAATTAATTAATTGGTTATAAACTAACGACTTAAAATTATTTTTCTAAAATATAAAGCCGGTTTTTAAATTAAAAATACATTTACAATATGTAATTTGTTTAAATACTTATACACCTATTTTGTAGCATTTGTAGATTATAAATCAAACCACTTTTCTAAGTACAAATAGTTTTAGTTTTACTTAATTCATTAAATTAATTAATTTATTTTACAATATGTATAACTTAAAAAAAAAATTGAAATCAAACCTCCCAAACGGCTATATAGCCGTTGGGGCTATGGGTTGGGGGCAGGGGGGTCCCGGGGGTGGTGGTGTGGGGAGTGGGGTTCAAAAATATCTATAAATACATCTATTTTCTAACATTTTTCTACACCTCTTCTCCAATTCTTCTCCAACTTTTCTCCATCTTCATCTTCTCTTATTATCCTACATTCCTACTTATACATATACCATTTTAAATATGGAAAGTACATCTTCCCTTATGCAAAACAATTTTGACAAGTGGAAGGACCCGAAGACCGGACTGTGGTGGGCAACTTACAGGTGGTGCAAGAAAGAGTGTTGCTTGGGACGTTCATACGGATACGTGATGCCAATAAAACATATGAAGTCCTGTGACAAAGGGAAAACAACAACCAACGGTGGCGGAAATCCCAATTGATATTCATTAGAAAATGTATTTCGTATTGTAATTTTTTCTCAATTCTCAAATGTAGTTCTTATTTCAAATAAATGCACTTGAACTTTGTTTTTAATAGGAATTTGTATAATATATAATTAATTAAAAAAAAATACTGGCCCGGCCCGGCGGGTGGCCCGACCCGTGACCCGGGCGGGTAGCCCAGCCCGAACCGGAACCGGCCATTGCCCGGGCCGGTCCCGGGCCTACCATTACAAGACCCGAGGCCCGACCGGGCCTTGACCCGGCCCGTGCCCGACCCGGCCCGGGTACACTTTCAGAATGTTAGAATATTGTAATGTCACTTATTGAATTTTCAGTGTTGGGGAACATTTATGTTAATTTTTTGTGTTATTTGTAATGTGCATTTCTTTTCCAAATATTAAATCAATGTTTTCTGGGAAAAAAAGGAAATGAAAAATTGAAAAAATCTGGTAAACATGTTTTCTGGTTTGGAAAACAAAAAACTGAAAAACGAAAACAGAAAACTGAAGACCTGAAAACAGAGAACGAAAACAGAAAAATATTTCTGTTAGTAAACAGGCCCTAAGCTTCTTCATGATTTTCTACATGTATGAGGTACCCTAGACGCAACTTGCTTCATGGCCACAAGCAAACGTGGCTACTTCATGGCTGCTTCATGGCTACTTCATGTGTTCAACCCTCAAAGCAAACAGTTTTCAGAAACCAAACCAAAAGGCAAAATGGTACTCAGAGAGTGACACTTTTACTTATTATTCGGTAATCAAGAATGACCAAAACTATATTCCCGTCTGATTAGTAAAGAATCAACTAATCTGCTCTACGGCTGTTGTCAAGGTCATTGACAAATTCATTTTCACTTGGTTCTTGAGAAGTTACATCAGTTTCATATTGCTTAAATAAATCAATACAAGAAGGATCATAAGCACTGACTATGTGCAAATACTTGGCAGCTTCAGCTTTCCGGCCCACAATGTATAAGGCACTTGAGAATAATACCAATGCGTCATAGTAATGTGATTTTGTCCTTGGATCCTCTGGCTCCTTCATTAGAGCTACTTTCTCGAGGTGTGCAATACCCTCTTCATACTTCCCCTCGCGTATACAAGTCACACCTGCCCATTGGGATGATAGGATCAAATGATCGACATCTTCAACTTCTGCAGGGTGCCTATTTATGAGCAGTTCAGAAATACAACTCTTCAAGATTTCAGTGGCTTTTGATGAGAAACCATTTTGCAATTGTCCATGCATCAAAGCTCTGGCATAATCAGGATCCTTGGCAAGAGCAAGGCGCATCAGTTGAAGAGCCACATCTTTTTTACCTTCAGCGAAGAGTGAAATTGCAATATTAACAAGCTCTTTGGCCGACAGATTTTGAGCAGGTATCTCCTGTGGAGAATCTACATTGCGCATGCACAATATGCATTGTAAAACCAAATGAGCCAAATAAGCATTCTTTAGATACAAAATGAGTTTTATTATATTCAATTGAGCATTTCATATAATGAAGATGAAAAGAACAAAATATAAACACAAAGAAATAAGCATTAAGATATGCAATAGACGCTGTTATTAAAAAATGACAAAATACCTGGATGTGAAATTACATCTGGATTTATGACATAATTTTCCATCTCTTGTGATTCATTTGAAGTATTCATCACCTCTTCCTTAGAGCAGTCTACGTTGTTTTGTTTTGCCAAGGCAGCAACCTCCTTATCTGGTAGTCCTAATTTCTTACGAACCACAGGATGCCTAAGAGAAATTTGTTGAAGGAGACTTGATATACTATTGAAAAGCCAGTACACTAAACTCCCCTGGGGCAAATTGAATGAAATGAACAGTATTGGGAGGGACAGAATCTCCAAGTATTGCTTGTAGTACTTGGCTAACAAAGCAAAAGGGCCACTGGTTTTCATAAGTGATGAACTCTGAAAGGAAACCTGAACATTAGTGAAATGCAGTCCAGCAATCAGTAAGGGTAATATGGGGCCTAAAGTGCCATTTGGCACTTCAGTCAAATTCTGAAACCACAGAGTTCCTCCAACATCAAATCCATCATGATGCTCGAGTGACATTCTTCTTATAGTTGTAATCCATAGGAAAAAGCAGGGAACTTGTATAGAAAATGACGAGATGAACCATAAAAGTGAGGGGCAACCTGCTGCTCGCTTCTCTTTGAAGAAAAGTTTGAATTGGTCTGTGAATGTCCTTCGTGACTTACGTGGTGGGAAAGGAGGAGGCAGCTTAGGTAGTAGCTCACTGATCCTCGCCAACTTGCGGAGTTGCAATACTACAAGTGGAAATAGCAAAAGCCTCATTGCCAATGTTCCAGAAGCAATAACAAACCACCAAGGCAATCCCGTGAAGACGTGGTAGCCATCTAGCAATGAAGACAGAGCCGAAACCGGAAGAATCGATTCTACCACTTCCCCGTCACAGGCTACGTCGCCTGGAAGAATCAGGTCAGCCGGAGAAGCAGGTTCAGTGTGGTTAAATTCTCCATCTTGAAGTGTATATCCTTCGATAGAACTGGATTCATGAGTGGAGAAAGAACGGGAGAATGAATGAACACCCAAAGGAACTAGAAATTGCTTTGATCCAGAAAACAAATACAGCGCAGATGGGGACCGTACCAATGGGAGGAGAATATGGTGCTTCCACTGCTGGCAGTCATCGCAACCGTGCAACTGTTCGAAGGAGTAGGAAGCTGATAAGGAAGGATAGTGGCGGAGAAGCTTCCGGTTTAAGATCTTAGACAGTGCCATATCTAGCTGTAACAAGGTTTTTGTTTAAATTGGTTGTTCCCTTCACCAAATAAGGAGTGTAATTTGATTTTTTTCTTATGACTAGCTACAAACTTTATTGATAAGGGAAGGGCTCTGATATGCTCTCTCACTTTAACCCATCCGGCCATCCCCGTTAACTAAAAAGGGATTCGTCTTCTTTAGCAGCATAGGGTGCATGACTTTTTTAACTGTCTGATCTAAAAATCAACAGTCTGAGATCTTGGAGTACACCTTTTTCACGTATCACAACTTGAGTTTTTCTCTCTTTTTTGTAATCAATGAATGGGCAAGGGGGAATAAGCCAAATTACATGGACGAAAAAAGTTCAGAAACCTCTAGTTTAGCTTGGAACTTGGAAGGGTATCCAGATAAACTTTATTTCATATGCAACAAATAGCAGGGCATCTTTGTTAATTACCTGCATTTCCAGATTCCCAATTCCTAACCAGAAATTTAGAAGGGATAAAGCAAGAGTAAATGCCTACACTATTCATATTAGTCAAATAATCAATAAAAGAAAACGTATAAATTGTAAAACAAATAAAATGGCCGCAGGATGGGAGATCTCCAGGTGGGGAGGTATACCTGAAGGCTTGGAGAGCTGCGACCTGGAGCTAGACGCGAGGGCTGAGAAGCCGATTTCTGAGGAGGGCGAGAAGCCGAAAAGGGGCAGGGCGGCCAAGCGTCGGCGGTAGCAGGTAGGCGGTCCGCGTCAGCGATTCGGCGTTACTAATTGCTCCTTTCTGAGTTCCGTCGATCGGTAGACGTCCAAACAGTCGAAGCCCTGGAATGAGTCGCAGGTTACGTGCGAGAAGCAAAATTTCTGAAGCTGGAAGAAGGAAGTCTCCGCGTAAGGGGGTGTTTGGATCCTATAAAATTGCTTTTGGACTTTGTTTGCAAGTGATTGTGCTTAAATAAAAGTAGTTTTTGGGGAAAAGTGGTTAGTATTAAAAGTTGGTAGTGTTTGGTAAAATAAGCACTTTTTGGGTAAAGAAAAAATAAAAAGTTGATTCTACACGGAAGCCGAGAAAGTAAAAGTTGGTAGTGTTTGGTAAAATAAGTGTTTTTTTCTTAAAAAAAATCACAATCACTTAAATTAAGTGATTGCAAACAGAGTCTTATGCTCCTTCAAGAAGTAGAAGCAGAAGCTGAAGTGTTTGGATGAAAGTGCAAAAGTGATTCTGGTGCTTTAATTTACTCCTAGAATCAGTTTTTTAAGAAGCTGGGGGTGACCAACATCTTAAAACTGATTTTGATTTTGCTTTTGCTTTAAAAAAGAAGAAGAATCAAAATCAGTTCCAAACACCCCCTAACTTACTAGCTTTTCCGCATGTTGGGCCATTTAGGCCGGATGGGCAGAACAAAAATAATACGGAGTAATATAGGCTGACAATCATGTTACTGACTTAATCAGCGATGAGATTAATAAACTAAAAATTGTATGATTGAGATTTGTGCAGAGGAAAGCGAATTAATTGACAAATTCTTTACTGAAAAGAGAAATTGAAAAAGTTAACGGAACGAGCAAAAAAAGAAGAGTTTTTTACACATATATTACCTAAATTAATTGGGTTTAAAAATATATGACCATGACTATTTAATACACATGAAGATCGTAACTGAACAAGGCAAATGACTTGATTACCCAAAACGGTTAAAATTTATATTGGAATGGAAAGTTTGGATTTCCAGAGAAAATCGATTACGTGATTGGGGAGGAGATGGGAGTAGGTCACACTAGGGGTGGGCATAAATAACCGTAACCGATTAACCGTACAAAAAAACCGAAAAACCGGTATTTTTTCGGTTAATCATACCGCATTTTAAAAAAACTCACGGTACGGTTAACCAACCGAAAGCAAAAACGGTACACGGTATGGTTACGGTTTTAAAATAAAACTACACCGGTTAACCGATAATCCAAACTTAAGATGTTACTTCGTACTTTCAAAGTTAATAATTCTTGGTTGTGAAAGATGCGGGTGGAATAAAAATGAATCGACGCACATGGCCACACAGGACACATGCTGTATCAAAGTAGCTAACAATAAATTGATAGATACATACGTAGTATATTCTAAACAGAAATATAGAATAATACAACAATTGTAAAATAACCTATTAAATATTTTATATTTACAAATAAGTCATACTCCGTGTTTGTTTATTCTTGAGAGTTCAGAAGCAACTTGAATAGTAGCAGTTTAGTCATTTAGTGGAGGCGGCGTATTTTTAGGAGTGCTGGACAGCACTAGTATGTATATTTAGTGGTCCGTAATCTTATAATCTATATATACGAAAGTATATTACTAGTAGTATATACTTTCCCTTTCTTTGTAGGCATTTCCTGGATCGAGAAATCCGTGGTATGTATAACCGGTTACAAGTTAACTTTTTTATACTCCGTATGTTTTTTCGGTTAACCAATTAATGGTTAACCTATATTACGGTTAACCATTATCCGGTTAACCGATGCTATGGTACGGTTAATGTTATTATAAACATAATAACCGAAGTCACGGTTAACCGAAAATTGGTTAACCGATATGTGGTTAACCAACCGTGCCCACTCCCGGGTCACTAAGGATCCATTCATTAGAAACGTAAAGAAGCAGAATATGACTACTCATTTATAGATTTTGTATCTTAGTTACATTCCATTGTTTTAATTTTCTCGTTACCGTGCTTGAAGATGAACATGTACTGAAAGATATTGAAACCAAATATAGAGTGTAATTATTTAGGGTGATAAATTTATGATTATCATGATTGTGATGATTTTAGTTTTGTGAATGTAAATAAAGATTTCTCACCCAGTAGTTAGTAGAGAAAAGGGGCAAATAAGGTCACGTACTAACAAAAAAAGGTCAAATAAGGCCTTATTTAATAGGCTCTGTCCGGCCATCACTATTTGAGGTGGTTCCCGGTGGAATTTTTTAATGAAATTTTTTGCGCATCTTATTCAGTAAGTCTAGTTTACTCATATCAAATTTCAGCTAAAACTTCAATCGGGAAGACATTCAAATGAATTTTTGAAGATAATTGCGCAATTAAAAGCGCAGTTATCTTCAAGAATTCATTTGAATGCCTTCTCGATTGAATTGTTGGCTGAAATTTGGTATGAATAAACTAGACTTAATAAATAAGATGGTAAAAAAAATTCATCAAAAAATTCCACCTAGAACCATCCCAAATGGCGAAGGTCGGACAGAGCTTCATAAATAAGACTTTATTTGACCTTTTTTTGTTAGTACGTGACCTTACTTGCCCCTTTTCCCGTAGTTAGTATAGATTCACGGAGTAATGTCGGCGACCTAATTCTGATGTTCATGGAAATTTAATACTCCGTAGTAACTAATTTATGGACTTGGAATGGTGTGATGAATTTTTAGTAACTTAAAGAGACGGAATTGTGATGCTTCTAGGAGTATGATAATTACTTGGAAATTTCTACGGTACATCTCAAAATTAAGAGTGTACCGTACCTCTGCCTTGCTGGCCCAATAGCAACTTGCCATACGGATTGTTAAAACAGGTAGACAAGATTATTATTTGCCATCCGGTCCTTGTTTTAACGCTCCAACTAGACGGAGACGATGAATTTTAACAGTACAATTTAACCGCAGGAAACAAACTCAAGAAGAAGAAGCAACGTCCGGAGAAACGACCCAGAAGCAAAGGTATTTTTTCTTGTATTTTGCAAGCGCCGCTGAAGTTTGCCTGACGCGGAGGTGTGCCTTCGTAGTTGTCTCCTCCTCACCTCCTGTGTTCATTGGCGGCCATTTTATGGAGGTAATATTTCGTATCTATTGATGCTCAAATTTTCGCTTTCAATTGCCCTAAATTTCAATCGGACCTGTAATCGCTCTGCCGATTAATCGGCCGCCCAGACCAAGTAATCGCTCTGAAATCGGACGCCTAGGATGGATATTTATCGGCCGCCAAAACCTTTAAATAAAAGTTGCGAATTTAATTTTTTTACCGCCCAGATGATGAGGACGGCTTTCCTAATACTGCGCTTTCTCCTCTGCGATGGAACGACAGCCATAGTGAACGAGTGCTGAGTCTTCTTCTCTTCCATTTACGGATTTCCTTCTTTTTGAGTATTGAATCAGCTTCTCAGCCTTCTCCACTCTGTCCAGCAGTCCAGGTAAAGAGCCAAAGATATTTTCATTGTGTTATTATGGCTATTACGGTAGTTCAAAAATATATGCTTAGTTGAGAATTTGTTACTATATGTTCAGACCTTTGTATTTCTAATGTGCCTTTGTATTTCTAATGTGCCTGGATTTTGGATTAAACTGAAATATTTTAGTATTTCTATTTGTTAGTATACTCTAAGTATATGACAGCTCAATTAATTAAGCTTTTTGAGTAGGCTTTCAAGGTTAGTTTGTTAAGCCGGATGCATTATATTTCACCAAGACTCTGACATGGACATTGAGTTAATACTCCAGTGTCTAGAAGGATACTCATTGTTGAATGCATCAATGGTGCTTGATAAAATTCCTCAAGGAAGCAATGCAAACTTTAACTAATAATTTATTTGAAATTTGTTAGCCTATTTTTCATTAGCAACAAGGTATGCAATAAGTTGTATTGCAATTTGAATGGATGTTGTTTTTTTACATAGTACGAAGTACTTTTTACTGTTTTTCATTACCATCTTTATTCATAGTTGATACTTGATTCTGTTTTGTTGTAGCCCTGTAGGATAAACTGAAGTAAAAGTGTAAAACTTAGTCCAACTGTTGTAGCCGGCCTAGTTGCTCCAACTGTTTCATTTGTCTTTCATCTACTATGCAATTTGTTACCTAATTGAGCAAGACAATTAAGTAAATAACCATAGTTATTTTCCTTCAATTTCATTCAAAAAATCGATAATCATGAAAACCATTAAGTTGGTTTCCCTTTTTAGTGGATCATCTCGTATATACAACAAGCTTAGAACATGAATATATTTGTCTAGACATTTTAAATGTTTATTCAAGAACTGTGAATATTACCATATCACCTATTGGAAACTAGATGAATACATTTGTCCATTTATGTAGTTTAGTACTCTAGACTTGCAAGTGCATAATGGAATTCAGTTCTAAGCAAGGGTTAGTGCGCATACCCCTGATAGTAACAAAGTACTTGTCTCAAAAGCAAAAGCTTATGTGTCGGCTTAAAGTAATCAACATTTTTCACATAAGATTTACCTTGTGTTAATGTCTACAAATGCATCAACATTCACTGCATTATGGCCTATCTCCGATTAGAAACTAAAAACATCTGATTATGATAATACACTTTTTAAGAAACTTTCATGCACTGTCCTCATTTATAAGATTTTTTTATTTGAATATATAATTGAACTGCATTAAACAAATCAGAGAAGTAATTCAGGAATTACTGCTATGATTTTACACTGCAGAAAAGAGTGTAATTACTTTCAATCATAAAATTCAGGTCAACCCTTTTTAGGTTATTTGTTCAAAAAAGAGCTGAGATAGTAAGTACCTCAGCCAAAAAAGTTCCTCGAGGACTCGGACGACAATCAGGACATTAGCTCCTGCTACCGGCAGCCCATGAAAATCCTATGACCATATATGCACCGCCTCCATTATACCTTGCGACAATCAGACCATCTCCAATAATCTCTAGATCCTTAAAACTTTCCATAATATTATGACCATATGTCTCCCATACTTTTACTCCCTATAAGCCTACTAACAACAGAAAGTTTTTCCCAAAAATATACAAGCCATGGAGGAAGCTAGAATATTCAATGCCATTCACATCTTCATTAGGTAAGCCTGGAACAAGATAGCAGCCATCCAATGATCAGTGTGAGCTATCTGTCCTATGATTTCACCCAAAACCACAGATGGAACACATTGTATCCCATCTGATTTTTCCCCATTCTCCATAAAATCAAGCAAAGAGACGGTTTTGGTCCCTCCATTGACACTATCTGAAGTAATTCTCCCCTTCTTGTTTTAAGATCTTAAAGAGCCACTGCCATTACCACAAGCTTCCTTAAGATCACCTCTTTTGTCCTCACTCTTATCATATATATCCACATGACTGGATTAGGTATATCCATTGGGAAAGAATTTGAAATGTCATGTTTAATGCTTATATTGTATGATTCACTTGCAAGCTGCCCATAGCCACATTTGTCCAGAAGAGGAGGGATTTCTGCCTGGTATTCAGTTCCAACTTGAGGATGGGTAGACTTCAGTAGATTTACTTGTGCCATCCATAGTCCTTCAAATTCTACTATACCTAAGTGCATAAATATGATTAAACATAATGCAGGATATTTTCTAAGGGGAAAACTACTACCATTTTGAATTCTGTTCACATCCATTCTAACAAAATACTTTAACCTCTTTCACAATAATGCATAAACTAATATTATTAATTTCAATTTACATACTTAGAAATTATATTATAGATGCCAAAAGACGAATTTGAATATGACAAAAATTTGTTCAAAATACAACACATTTTTTAATTTAACTGTAAAACTGTCTCTTGTTTTGAGAGAAGCTACACATTTAAAGGAGCGAATTTGGAAACAACATTAACACATAGTACAACATCATACAAGTATTGGCATTGTGATTATATGTCATGTTAATGACTTAAAGCACAATGATAATTTGATAGGGGCTCGAAGCGACAATAAGATAGATAAGAGTTGAATTTCTCATGCATTGAACCAAAATGCATTTAGGTCAAATTAATGCTAACAATATGAGACCGACTAATTATGTAGTTGAACATAATTATATTAGAACAAGAAATCTTCATTTCTTCTATTAAAATAAAAAAGTTAATCAAAGTTAGAGTATTAGTCTATGGTTGTGTTCAACATAGCAAATAAATACATAATTAACCAAATCAGTTAATGTTCTAGAGCGGTGGAGGAACTGATCATGTTACTGAAGTTGTCAAATACATTTGGCATAAATTTCGGTTTTCATTGATTGTTTTTCCTATATCACCAATTAAATAATTTGATCCACATGTACGAAGCAATAAATAGAACATTTTGAAAGGTTTGGAATTTGAAAACTAATAAAAAATGTAACAGTTTTCCCACTTATTACGATTATTATCCGTTTTTGGATTTAAAAGCAAGTTCATTTTATTTTTATTTAATTTGTTTATTCTTGTCAATCTACACTTTTTTTTTCTCCGCACAGAGCCATTTAGTCATTTGGCAAACTCATTCAAATTTGAACTATTACAATTTTGCTATTGGAGTAAAAACAGCCATGACATTGTTCATTATTATATAATGGTAGTAATCATGCTTCCTTTCAATACAATCTGGTTTATTTCTTTTATTTTATTCAGAAACCTAATCCTACAGTTTTTTATTCAAAATAAAAATTTGATATTTTGGGTTTGTGCGTTTATACACAATTAGTATTATTTGAAACCAGCTCTATGCATATGTATCGATTGGAAATATTATGAGCAGGATTCATGATATCATAATTGATATTCCTTCTCTTCCGATTAAATACATGCTCTGGACATTTTCCTTAAGTTAGGGGCGATCTTTTAGAGTTCCATCATTTTATCATTGTTATTGTTTCATTGTTGTTGCCTGTTCTTGCAATTTAAATAATTATGAGTTATGCACATGTGTGGAACAAAGTATCTGCCAAGTCTTGTTGATAAACTTTGTTGCCAATATTTGCAATTTCAATAATAGTATAAAATTACTAATTTTTTTAACATGTTGTAACATTGATTTGGTAGATGAATGAATGTGACAGTCAAGCAACTGATAATTTCAATGAAGAAAGAGAATCTTCATCATGTAATGAAAAAGAAGGTGCTGCTATCAATGCGAATTGTTCTAGTGATGAGGGAGGTCCAACAATGGGTGTTGAAGAAGGTGAATTTAAAAGGATATCGGACTTGACATCAGATGAGGTATGTGCACTACAGTTTGATAATGAAGAGGATGCTTATCAATTTTACAGCAAGTATGCCAAATGTCGTGGATTTGTAGTAAGAAAACATAATGTGGGTCGTAACAGTAACAAAAATGTGATCACACGACATTATGTATGTAATAGACAAGGTCTACGAAACCCAAGACATTTGGCAAGGACAGATAGGAAAAGAGATCATAAGCCTCTCACCCGGACCAATTGTCGTGCAAGATTCAGTGTACGTTACAATTTAAAAACATCAAACTGGATAGTGACTTGTTTTGAAGAGGCTCATAACCATGAATTGACCCCTTTAAAGTTTGTGCATTTATTGCCCGCTTACCGTGGAATGACAAATGCAGATAAAGCACAAATTGATAGTTTGCATTCACATGGAATTAGAACTTGCCATATAATGGGGTACATGGTGGGTCAAAAGGGTGGATATAACAACGTTGGTTTTACAAAAAAAGATTTGTATAACTATTTTGATAGCAAAGTACGAGGTGAGATTAAAGATGGAGATGTTGTTGCTGCATTGAGCTATCTCCAAGGGAAAGCAAACCATGACCCCATGTTGTATGCCAAATTCTCAACTACTAGTGATGGTAGATTGAAACGCCTTTTCTGGGCAGATGGAGATAGTAGATTTGATTTTTCATGTTTTGGTGATGTTCTTGCTTTTGACACGACGTACAAGAAGAACAAATACAACTACCCTCTTGTTATTTTCTCGGGTTGTAATCACCATTTACAGACAACTATTTTTGGTTGTGCTTTGGTTTCAGATGAAACTACTGAAACATATACATGGGTATTGGAATCTTTTCTGGAAGCAATGGGAAACAAACATCCAAAAGCAGTAGTAACAGACAGTGATGGCGCTATGAGAGAGGCTGTAAAACTGATATTTCCAGATGCTTTTCATAGGCTATGCGCATGGCATTTGCACAAGAACGCTTGTGAGAATGTAAAAATCTCTCCATTTCTGACAGATTTCAAAAAAGCCATGTATTCAAATTTTACGCGTGAGAGATTTGAGGAATTTTGGAAAAATATGGTTTTGCGACATGACCTTGTGGGGAACAGCTGGGTATCTAAAACCTACAATAATAGATCTTTGTGGGCCACTGCATATCTGCGGGATCAATTTTTTGGTCGTCTACGGACCACATCACAATGTGAATCCATTAACGCAATCATTAAGGCATATATTAGGAAAAAGTGCAGTTTTTTTGAATTTATGCATAATTTTGAGCAGGCTTTGAGGCAGTATAGAAATAATGAGTTTGTTGCAGATTTTAGATCTTCATACGCAGCACCGGTGCTAACAACATCACTTCAAAAGATAGAGGAGGATGCTGCAAAACTCTTTACGGAGGAGATTTTTCAAGAAGTGAAAGAGCAAATTATAAAGGGTTGTTCATTAATTGTTAAAGAGCGAGTAGTAAACGGAGAGCAAGTCATATTCCGATTGACCAAGTATTGTGATCCTGATTATGAAACTGAAGTGCTCTATCAATCTGAAAAGGTGGAATTTTCTTGTGCATGTAAGCGATTTGAGTCTCGCGGAGTTCCGTGCTCACATATTATTTGTGCTATGAAAGAGGAGCATCTGGACCATATTCCGCGTCATTTAGTTCTAACACGTTGGTCTAAAAATGCTAAAGCTTCTTTAGTGTCGTCTGCTTCGTCTGAATCCTTAGATTCTGATGCCATGGAGGCAGCTCGCTTTGCAGCCTATAGTGGCGCGTGTATGAGGTTGTGCAAGGTTGCCGCAAAAAGGAGTGAGTTATACAATGAAGTAATGGATGACATAATGCAGCTTACTAAAAAATATGAGTTGTTGGAGATGAAGAATTCAGAAGATCCCATAGGTGCAAGTGGTTCATCGCTTAAGCACATAGGCGATCCAAATATAGTAAAGACTAAAGGAGCTCCAAAAAAGAAAAAACTCAGTATTAAGAGGTTGAGGCATTGTTCAAAGTGCGGTAGCACAAAACACAACGCAAGAACATGTAGGAAGGAAAGAGATAAGCATGCTAGTGAATCATCTCCTTCAAACTGCTCAGAATCTAGCTCAAGATCTGATCGTGTGAGTATTTTGTATTTGAAAAGTCATAATTTATGTCATCATAATAATGGATATGTATATATATAGTAATTCTTTTTATTACAGAGATTAATGTGCAAACCTAGTGGTAGTCATGATCTGAAGAAAAAAACATTAAAAGGCGATTCAAATTCACATAATGATGGGGTAAGCATACTACTATATCACATAAATTATATGATATACCTTATCATGAAAAGTTTCTTTATTCGACGTGTCATTCTTTTAGATGATTGGTTGTACATACATACATACATACATACATACATACATACATACATACATACATACGTACGTACGTACGTACATACATACATACATACATACATACATACATACATACATACATACATACATACTGACGTGCACTTTGTCGTGGTGTGCACTCAAAATATAAAAGAAATATTATTCTAACAATGTGACAATGTGTTAGGGGAAGTCAAATAACATCAAATATTGGAAAGAGGGAGTTGGGAGTGAAAGCTGCTGACGAAGTTTTACACCAATTGGCCGGGAAGCTTCGAGTCAGTTAACCACTAATCCTAAACCCATAACCCTAAACCCCGAACCTCAAACACCAAACACTAAACCCTAACCCTCAACCTCGAACCCCTAAACCCGAACCCTCAACCCCGAACCCCGAACCCCTAAACCCTAACCCTCAACCCCTAAAGCCTTAACCTTAACCCTCAACCTAGAACCCCAACCCTAAAGCAGTTAACCACTTCAACAGTTGAGTGCACTAAAATAGATCTCTCGGATTTAATTTTACACAAGGTTACATTATGTTTTCACTTAATGTATCATGGAATGTTTCTGAAGAGCCTATGGAGTTAAGACCAAGTCTCTAAGAGATATATCATGCCAAAGAAAGTGTTAATTAATCACCTCTCCCCAAAATACACATACACCAATCCTATTCGTCAAGGGAAGCTTCGAATCAGTTAATCACTAAAGCATTTTACTATACCAATTTCCCGATCCCCTAACCCTGTACCAAAACCAAAAGAACCCGAAAAATATAATACCTTACCAAACCGTACCAAAATTATTTAATAATATGGTACAATACTAGATCTTAAGTGAGAACCATCCCAGAACCGTATTAACCGAACCACCGTGAACCATCCCGTATAATCTTGAAAAATTGGTTATACAAAAAAAAATATACTGTGTATATATTATATTATTTATTATATTATCCAATAATCTACGTTGTGGTTACTCAAAGCATTGGTATAGATTGTATAATGCACACTCTTCTTTTAATTTTTTGTATTGTGACTTAATTACTTATAAATGCTAAAAATTGGTACGAGATGAGACAAGTTCTATATATATTCGAGAAAATGCCGGTTCTTTAATTTAAAACAAACGTACTTTGAGATGGGGAAAGTTTTTCGAAATAGCTTTCTCGCACCGTCTCATGCTCAACCCTACTACATATGTAAACAACATTTATTTTACTCATATGTAAGTGATTATTATTTAATGTAATCATAAAAATTATTTTAAATATAATTTATCCATAGTATAGTAGATTCATCCAATATTTTAAATATAACTTTTCTATAATTCGGCCACTTAAGCCATAACTTTATAAATATTCTAGCCATAACTAATACTTCATCCGTTTTAAATAAGTGTAACGCTGAACTTTTCACATTTAGTGATGCACAACTTTGACCATTAATATATACTTGTATTACTTACAATTCTCTATTAGTAAAAAAAGTTAAAAAAAAAAGTTAGATTTGAAAATTTAGATTGAGACAAATTTAATAATATATTTTTCAAGAAAAATGAATCTCAATTGGAGTAGAGGAGCTCAAATCAATTAAATTCACAACAATCAAATATTCAAATGTTTGGCACACACGTTGGGAAGAAATGGGTCTGAGTTGGGGCTCCCTATTTGTGCGACTTCAGCGGCAACTGGGAGTACTGGTCGGAACTACTTCAGCGGTAATTTCATACCATGACGCACGTCCCAAGCATGACTTGAGGACTGGATTTTGCAGCATATATATCCAGTACGAGTAACTGAACTACAACTCTCACGTAAAGCAGCAACTTCCAGTCCTCAGCAAAATACAGACTATCAATTTTCAGCCATGGGAAGATACCGCGAGGGCAAGAAAAAGGGAGCTACCCGAAAACTGAAAAACCCAACTAAGTTACTAAGTCCAGCAACAGCAAATGGAATCGGGAAAAATTCAATGAGCAATCACGCTGTGAATCCGATCCTTCAAGGACCATCAATTGCTGCTGGAGGTCATGTGGGATGCTTTCGTAGCCAAAAACTGCATTCACAAATTGAAATCATTGATATTTCTTCAAGGTAACTTTCTATGCATTGCAATGTATTTTTTGTTATGATTTATTCTATAACTATTTGTTGATTTATTTTTCCACTTAAATATAAGCTGTCCGGAAAGTCAGTTCAAGAAGGTTGGGGAAGATCAGGTAGCTACTCCCTCACAAGGTTCTAGCCCGGTTCCGGGTTTCAAAGGCCACAATGAAAAGGAGTGTGACTACGCTAACGTTAATGGGATTGAGGATATAAAAGATGCATTCGATAATCTGGCTAATCTGATCAAAAGCCAAAATCCAAATATTTCTTTTCAGTTGAGTCCTTCCGGTGTTCCCCTTATGATAACCAATGCAGCAACTCTCATGCTCCCATCCATTCAAAAGAAGGAAGACAGTGCTATGCTTCACGAAATGGCAATTATCACAAAAGGAGAGGCATGTGAAAGAGACCAAAATGATACTCACATAAAAAAGAGTTTGTTCTCTAAATTTGAGCAATGCGACAACAACAATTTCTATATCAACTTTAAGCCTTTTCCTTGCATTCCCAATGGCGGGACTTCTACCGGATTTGTTATACCAAAAGTATGTTAAGTTATACTACATATATCATTCCATTCAATCTATATTTTCCGTTCTAACTATCTTTATACTGACGCATGTTATTTTCTTTTGTAGTGGGTTCCAATTTCATTTACTCCTCCTGCAGACATGACTATGGATGAAATTGATGTTGCATTACTTTCATATATTTTCATGAGGGATGAGAATAATGACTATGGGTATGTGATTTACATTTTTCAAAAAACTTATACAAATGGATATTAATGTAAATTATTTTGTCCATGTAGGAGTGAAGTTCTTATCAGCACAAGGTATGGTGACGGAGATCGAAAAACATTGAACACCCTCATGCCTAAGGCTTGGATTGACCAAGAGGTTAGCTAAAAGATAATTCTAGTTGGGAAAATGTTTGTTATCTATATGCATGCTATTTTCTTACTTATATATAATATGACATGGAATTGAGTATGATTACAAAGTAGTACTATATGAAATACGAGTACAGAATATCTTTTAAAATAGAATAACTTTCATTTTAATGTTATCCATCATTTTTTTATTTAACAACTTTGGATCTTGTGTGTACGGTATAACTCATATATAAATCCTTTTGGTGATTTGGCCATGTGGGTTTATTAGCAGTTCTCAGTTTGTGTTTGTCGGCCACTCTGCCACGTTTATTGAATAACTAACCCTAACTTGTAAGTACAATGTGTAGGTTCTTAATTTGTTGGCATGTAAGCTTACATATGAGGACATTCACTTTGCACCATTTTCGACTATGTGGTTCCTACCAACTATGTTTTCAGTAAGTACGCTTATAATATATTTTCAAATACACACACACATGTATATCTATAATTTGTTTTCTATGGGTGTTATCATTGCAGCAATATGTGTTGGACTGGGATTACGAACCTGAAATTTTGAAAGGCTTCTATCAACGTGATTTCATGGGAAAAGTTGACTGTTTGAGAAAGGTAATTTTGTAGATATTTTTTAGTCTTTTTAAGCCATTTGATTCAACATAACTAATAAACTTAGACCAAAATTTGCAGATTTTCATTCCCATAAATGATCAAAATGTGCACTGGTATTTGTTGATTGTTGCATTTGACAAAAGAATGTTGATTTTGTTGGACTCTTATCCTTCGGAAGGAAGAAGGGAACATAGACGTCACTCCGTTACGAAACTGGTATTTTTATATTACTCTTACAAATATTTCCCCTCTAATTGATATTTGATACTTGAAGTTCATTTTCATGTATAGGCTAGTTTTCTTGACAAAATGTTGGATGAAAATGATATACCTTCAAATCCAAATATGATATATCTAGCTTCACTTTGGTTGAGCCAAAAGGTCTTCCGCGTCAACAATTTGGATCGTACATTCTCACTCATCTTTTTGTTTCTGTATAACTGATTTCATTGGCCTAAATACATGGCATTGACAATATCATTTACCTTTTTTGTGTTTGATGCAAGTGATGATTGTGGAGTATGGGTAGCGAAGTGGATGATAGAGTGCGCTTCTCGTGAAGATTTTTATCAAGTATTTGTAAGTGTTTTTCTAGTTAAACCCCTGAATATTTTATCCAATTAGCAATGAAAAAAACACACTAATGTATGTATCGATTTATGTTTGTGTGTATGTACCACTAAAATGATTTTTTTTACATAGGTTCGTCCTGACTCAAGGCTGCGTATTGCGATTGATATGGTCACTCACCCTTTCAATGGCTTGAGAGAGAATGTACAAGAAAAAGCAATTGAGTATTGGACTAAGCTAAAGAGGCGGAGGGATGCTACTTATGATGTCTAATACTTATCTGTCATTACGAAGTTCAAGTTATTTAAGGGCTTACTGGCTTTGCTTTACTTATGTCGAACTCTATTTCTTTTGCACCAATTTAGTATTGACTTTGAACATCGTGTTGTTTTATCGAATTTGTGTCATTGTGATACATTTTCTATTGTTAATGAAAGTTCACTTTCTGTTTAAATTAAGTGTTTTATATAATTTCTTTATTCACAGTTGATAATATTCAAAAAATTGTCTTCTGTGTTGCATAATTATTTGTTGATGCTATTTGTGAGAAAATGATCTTCGATCTGGATAGTTATTGCCTTAACTGATTGTTTAATGTTTGCATTTGGATTGTTGAAGGGAATTAATGCTGAGTACAGAATGTTTGAACACACACACACAACTTTTTTGTTACAAAATGTTTACATACTACACATTTTTTTCCTGAAATCTTTAACTACAAAGGCTTTACTAGTAGTGACAAAGTAAATTCTCCAGAAATCTTCCAAATGAACTGTTTCTATTACAGCAACAACCTGTCCACTTTCATTCGAGTGAAGGCATACTGTTATAATGTTTGAATTGGGAATCTCAGGCTGCATAATCATTTGCCCCAGGCTGTGTAAAGTTTGAATTTGACATTTTTAGTAGTTATGTTGCTAGATTTCATCCTTAAAATTTGCAATAGTTTCTTCTAGCTTTACTGTGACTATACGAGTGGGTTATACTTACAAGGTGATCTGTGATAAGCATTTTAATATGAATGATTTCAATAAACCAGAATTGCAACACAGTAAAGACTGAAATATTGCATTTTTATATGAAATATTCATCTCTGTTTCCACGCTTTTATGTCTCTGGAAATGGAAAGATTTCAGAACTATTGCCTTTTTTAACGAGTAATATGCCGCCTCAACTGCTTCACTATGTTTCCCTTCCACTTACGTACTCAGAGCCTTTTTTTGCCTCAATTTGTATGCTTTATTCTAGGATGGAAGAGGTTGTTTATTAACTTGAGTAGCTTTTGTCGAGGCGTATCAGCGGGCTTGATAATCGGATTTGCGCCTGTTTTGGCTTACAGGGGGAAGGAGATGAGGGATGTTGCTTAGTGTGGGGTACACTGTTAAGTGAGGCTGTTCTCTGGTAGCAGGGAGGGGAAGGAGATTGATTGTGATGTTGTGATCTTCTTCTAGTAGTAGGACTGGAAACAATATAACAATATGGTTTACTTGACTGGAGACCTGAAGCCATTTTTAACTGCAGTCAGCCATGAATTTCCTCCAAGCTTTTTTTCCATGGAGATAGGGTAGGATCAATGGTGTTCCCTCTAGTTGCACGTACTGGACGTAGCAGCAAGGAAAGAAGGGTGCTCGGATTTGGAGTTTGATTTTTTAAATAATACTGTATATTGTTTGATTTGAAAAAAAAACTTTCCAACTATAACAGTTCAATAATAGTTCAATATGGGTTTAATAGGTGATTTGTCCTTACCTCTCAACACCATAGTATATATATTCATTTCCCTAAGTTAAAAGGTTACTTTATTTATGTCCACTATTTTCATAAAGTAATAACCAGCTTTTCGTGGGGGAAAGTTTGGCAATACTACTAGTCTACTACAACACTCATATATTCCTTCCATATATTCCAAATTATCACACCTGCAACATTGATTGACTTTAATGCTGTAATAGCGACTGAGAAGTCTAGAACTTTAGCACAAAAAAACATTCACTAACCTTTAGCAACAATAAAATCAGCAACTATAAATACTATCAACAAAGTAAAAGAGGATTTGAAAAATAGGAGCAATCATAATGCCTTGAGAATGAAAAAGATGGAACTGAGGGCCACATGCAAAGAAACGGTGTGTAAAATTCTTTTTTTTATTGCAGAAATTGGAAAATTCCTTTATTCATCCTAACATAGAAACCGGAACTCTCATACAACACACATCCTTTCCCGTATGCACATATATTTCATACTAATACTGTATTGTGCCAGAACGTAACTAAACATAAGATATTAATTAATACAGAGTACTAATAATTATTTAAAGGAAAAAATGAAGGGTGGATTACTGCTGCCTTGGCCCTTCCCTTAAAAGTATAACTAACATGTGCTTCCATTTCTCCTCTTTCGTAAGCACTCAGGTATGATGAAGGCGAGCTCCAGTGACTGAGAGGCATTCAAACGGGGGTCACAGTGTGTGTGGTAGCGAGAACACAGATCATCAAATATCACAGTCTGTGATCCACCACCACTGATGCACTCTGTCACGTTCTGCTCCGTCATCTCTTACTGCACCCCACCCGGGTTGCTTCCTTCTTGCTCATGAAGATCGAAGAATGCTCTCACTTCCTCCCTGATAGCATCAAAAGATTGAGCCTCAAGACCACATGGAACTTTAATGGTGTTGCCATGCATTGGATCTGAAACCCATGTGACAATTTGACCCGCTCATCGCACAGACCTAATTAAATGAGGAAGCTTGACCCTCATGTTTTCTTCTCCCATCCTTGTTAGAAAGCTCTCAAACGAATGCTGTATTAACAAAGCAATATCAATGATGTATTTTGGAGGATAAAAGTGGAGCCAAAATAGAAGTAATAACAGATTGATGCTTTTCATGCTTAATAAATTAACGAATTCACATTTTGCCTCCTGTGGATATCATTGAACTTCTATTGTTGGCTAAGTGCGGTTGACAAATGGAACAAGAAGATAAACTTTGCAAGTGAGAAACTGTTGATGCAAAAAAACTCTATACTTGCAGAAATTGGACCAGGGGAACATTTGCTCATATCCTAAGTCATACAAATGCGTTGGAATTGTTGGATAGCACAGTCTGAAGGGGAAACGTCGTAATCTAAACGAAGCCAGCCATGAAAATAGTTTTCACTACTTTTTTATATGCACAAATTTTTTAAGAACTCAATTAATAGAGGGAACTGGAAAAAACTTAAATACCTTTGCCAAAACCGAAGTGGGCAGCAGCACTGTGGGTGTGTGATAAACCTCACCATATTCGGGATCCCCTCTCCACCGCCGACTGTGGCACTATTAATATAACGTCCCTCTGGTCCTCTGTTCAGAGCCTGCGAAGAAGAAACTAAATGCCGTCAAACAGGGGATAACGGAAGGACCGCAAGTGCAATTCACTAGAATTTGATTCCATGTCATATTAAAAAGATATGAAATGCGTTTAATGAATTTCCATGTGTCATAACATCATAATTCGTATTCCTAACAGAATTGGTTGGAATGATGACCCTTGTGCCCCTACTACATGGGATGCCTGAGAGAGTGTTGAAATTATATTGTTAGTCAATTTCATGTCATGCAGGACTGCATTAGGAACCACCCTTGCTTATGTCACTGTAGCTTATTTAAGAAGATAGAGAAGCAATACTGAATTATTAAAAAATATTATACTCTTTAGTACTGAAGTAGAAATTTGACAGTACTACACATACTGGAAATACGTGTCCTCCAATCTTTTTATTAATTCACAGACTGGAAAGTTCCTATTATTCCTCTCCCAAGACTCACGAGCCGCAAGTGAAGGCACCATTACTGAAAAATGGTTTTTTTTGTTTTTTTATCCCGACATTTTGGCATTCATATAGCCCACCAGGTTTGCTTCTCCCTTAATACACTAACAAGAGACACATCAATATTAACCGAACCAATGCACTTAAGGAGTGTTTGCAATTGCTTCAACTTTAAAAAAGTGATTTTTTAAAGTGATTTTGGGAAAAGTGATTAATAGTAAAAGTTGGTAGTGTTTGAGAAAAAAGTGATTCTGAAAAAGTAAAAGTTGGTTGTTTTTGGTAAAATAAGTACTTTTTGTTAATAGAAAAAGTGAGAAGCAGTTCAAAGCACCCTTCTACCTGCTTCCAGCTTTTAGCTTTTAAGTGATTAATTTAAGCAGAACCTGTCATTTGAAAACACTCTTTTTAGCTTTTTTTAAGTCAAAAGCTAAAAAGCACTTTTTTAAGCAACACCAAACACTCCTTTAGAATCGAGAGATAAGCAGCAGTATATCCATCATTACCCTTGATGTCTTGAGCATCGTCTGTGATATTCACATCTAATACGTCTGTAGTTTTCCTTTTTCCCTTTTCCCTTTTTCTCAATCTCGAGGTGAGCATAAGGATTCACAGAGAAGTTGGCAGCAGCAGCAGCAACACTAACAGGATGCAAATCATGCATCATTACTGAACAAAACTTCACACTTTCTCCCACAGTTTGTACTTTGGTTTTCAAAATAGTGTATAGTGTCCTGAAAATATACACAAATCATTTAATGGATTAGCTAAACCATTGTCTGATGTTTTTTGGTTCAAAGGATTCTATGATTCTTAGATATTAACAATAAAGGCTACCAAATATATGTAGGAGCTCATTGCACATGAGGAAAGTTTTTCTATTGCTGAACTTCTATTGCAATTGAGATCAGGAAATAAGAACAAACACCTTTAAAAAGAATGGAATCTGCGGCTTGTGTAACTTAGCATTATAGTCTTTATATTTGTTCTGATCTGAATTTATTGGATGATTTTTACTTTTATTTTTGTAAATGTTGTTAGTTGATTACTTTGGAAATTAAATTAACAAACTTGTTAGAGGTGTTGAATTGTTCTCACTGACGAATACCTTGACAATTGCAGATATTTATGCAATCCTTATATGCTATGTTAGGCAGTGGTGGAGTTTTTTTAAAGGAGTAGTTAATTATAAGAACGAAGTTATATTCATAATAATCACTCTCGTAAAGCAAGATATCAATGGATCTGAATTATTACGTATTTTTGTTGCATACTCCGTAGTTATTTTCTTTGGAGAAGCCACAAGCTGAGATGTGGTTTTCAGCATAATGTTTTTTTATTTAGGTGGATTTTTGGTCATGTTTACCAGTTTCAATTGATTGTGCATACTATGTACTACTACTATTACTGTAATAGGATGTGAGTGAAAGAGATGTGCACAACATGATCGTGTCATATCTTGTGCACAATTGCTTCAAAGACACCGTAGAATCATTTGTTGACAGCACGGGGATGAAGCAACATGCCTCTTATTGCATTGAGGATATGGAGAGAAGAAAACGTATGTTTCTTTCACCACCCTTCTATCTTATTATCTTTCTGCTGAAATGATGAAATCTGCTACTTAAGGAAAGCATTTGGTAACATCTATTTCATCCAAATAAGGAAGTCAAAAGCTACCTTATTCAGCTGATTAGCGGAATAAGCCGATTGTGGCTGGCTACAAATGGCACCTTAGTCTCATCATCATCATCATCATCATCATCATCATCATCATCAAATCTGCCTCTGTTCTGTTTCCCCTTTGTGCAAGAACATATTTATGTATATTCCTCATTATACTCTTTCCCAAATTGGAATGATTTTTTCCGCCTTATTCAAATGTGTTCATATTCAGCAAAGAATCTTCACTTTTGCCTTCACTGATGTGCGGAATGAATTCAATTCCATAGATATTTTCCGTCAAGAGCCAAGAACTCTTTGCACTTTCAAAGTCTTAATTTGTTCTCCCGCCTTCCTTTTAATAGATTCTTGCTTCATCATTCTTAATCGGTTCAGGAATTTGTAACAACCAGCAATTCTTGAACTAAAGAAACGCACTTTCCCTGAAACTCTTCACTCTCACCAGGCAAAAATGGGTTTCAACAGATAACACGCGGGCCCACACTCTGCTCCCCTCCCCTGCACCACCACCCCATGCCCTACTCACCCCAACTGCCTCTCCGCCGTCCCCACCACCCACCTTCCCTCCTCCTCCTCCGCCTCTTCTTCCCGGAGCGCTTCCACGAAGATCAACCCGTCAGGGGTCTTCCTCTCCCCGCTCTCCCACTCACGCTTCACCGCCGACCACTCCTCCACGACGGCCGTCTCTGTTCTGGTATCCTCCGTCCTCCTCCTCCGAGTACACGTGGACTAGCAGCGGCGCTCGATTCAAGTTCTTCACAATTTTGCCGACCGATCCGCGCATCCACCTGTCCAGATTCGCCGCTCGGTCGTCACTCTCATCGCAACATAGCTTTGCGTTCTTCAATGAAAATATCCTTTACGCCGTCAAACTAGAAAGCGTTAACATAAGGACCCGTAGTGCAAATCACTAAAATTTGATTTAAAAGACATTCCAAGCTTTTTCATTAATGAACGTTTTCAATTTCCATGTGTTATAATTTTATTTGTCCACATCATCAAATGTACGGTACCTTCCAAATTTCCAGAGGCACCATAGAACGACCCTAATTACTTTAAAGATAGGAATAAAGTAATGGAGATATAGAATAAAGTACCGAATTTTTAGTAACTATGGCCAAACTAGTGATCTAGGTTCTGGAGTAGTAACTTTTGATTTGATTTGGGTCGGAAGACCGTAGTAAGCTAGTTGTCGTATATAGTAATGATCAGTGATGGACCCGGGCCGGCTCGGGTCAATGGTCGTCGGGATTTGTTGTTGTTGTAGAAAGCGGTTATTATGTCGGGCCAATTCTTGTTGTAGTTGTTCTTCAGACATCGCATCTCCATCTCGCCTTTGGTAACCCGTTTAAAAATCATCTCGGCTTTGAGATGAAGAGCCGGCAAGTTCTTTACCTTTGCGGGATTTCTTCCTCCCAATCTCGTTCCTTCGATTGCGTTGGAGGTTACCCAAATCAACCGAATATCTACCAGCTTCCATCTTAAAAATGTAACAAATATTAATTGGCAACAAATATAATAATGAATACAAAACTAATGCAACTAATTAAAATTATTTTAATAAATACTTCAAACTAATTTAATGTTAAGTACTTTAATTAAATGATTGAACTACTATTTTTTCGTTCAAATATAAATTGAAAATATTATAATGTGACTTTAACTATAATGACAATTAACTAGTTTTTTGAAGTAGAGTTGTTTTAGCAATTAATGGGAATACTAATGAACTAATTAACTAGTATAATGAAAAATGTAACAAGAATGCTAATGAACTAATTAACTAGTATAATGAAAAATGTAACAAGAATACTAATTAACTAATTAACTAGTATAATGAAAAATGTAACAAGAATGCTAATGAACTAATTAACTACTATAATGAAAAATGTAACAAGAATGCTAATGAACTAATTAATTAGTATAATGAAAAATGTAACAAGAATGCTAATGAACTAATTAACTAGTATTATGAAAAATGTAACAAGAATACTAATTAACTAATTAACTAGTATAATGAAAAATGTAACAAGAATGCTAATGAACTAATTAACTAGTATAATGAAAAATGTAACAAGAATACTAATTAACTTATTAACTAGTATAATGAAAAATGTAACAACAATACTAATTAACTAATTAACTAGTATAATGAGAAATGTAACAAGAATGCTAATGAACTAATTAACTAGTATAATGAAAAATGTAACAAGAATACTAATTAACTAATTAACTAGTATAATGAAAAATGTAACAAGAATACTAATTAACTAATTAACTAGTATATAATGAAAAATGTAACAAGAAAACTAATTAACTAATTAACTAGTATAATACTAGTTATAGTAACTAATATATAATATAATGTTTATAGTATATAATATATAAGTATACTACTATAAGATGAGTAATACACTTATATTTCATCTCAAAGTGGAGGTTGATGCTCAATTAAAATGTCATGATGTTCAACTAACAAACCTCACGATTTTCATATCAATGTGCACTTTGTAAGTTATGTGTGCTCATTCGGTAGTGGTGTTATGTTCATTTTTAAAATATTACTCCGTATCTCAATACATATTTCAATAGTATCATATTACATTAGACTAGCATATTGAAATAAATAGGAGTGGATTATAGATATAATTTAATAGTTTTTATAAAAGAAAAAATATCAAAAAGAAAAAGAATTAGAAGATACGAAGCATACATCACGATACTCAATATCAGACTCTTAATACTCAACATAATTGGTCTGATGCTCAGTAAATGTTCATCAATGCTCGTGATGTTTAATTAACACAATTTTCATATTAATGCACATTGTATAAGTTACACCACTTACATGTGCTCATTTGGTACTGATTTTATGCTCATATGTAAAATGCCATATCAATGCGTATTTAAAAAGTGACATATTACATTAAATTCACATATTGAAACTCATAGGAGTTATTTATAGATATAATTTAATAAGTTTTTATAAAAGAAAAAATAAGACAAAGAAAGTGACTTAGATGTATGAAGCAAAGATTGTAGTACTCATTGTTTGGCTTTTAATACTCAATAGAATAGGTCAGATGCTCACTAAATGTACATTGATGCTCATTTAGCGGAAGCCGCGATTTTTTGCCTGACACCGAAAAAAATTAGACTGTTTTAGTTAAATGATCTGTACAATTCAGTACAGTCTGCCAGCCGGAACCGGCGAAGATCGAGATGGAGGATGAAGAAGAGTGTGAGGCGGCGGAAACCCAGGAATTTGAGGACGGAGGGCTACGGCGGAAGACGGCGGCGTCGAAGAAGAAGGGCAAGAAAAGCAGTTGTAAGAGGTTCAGCAATTAGCAAGTGAAATCGCTGGAAACCATTTTCAGGCTAGAAACAAAGTTGGAGATGAAGAAGCTGCAAGTTGCCAGAGATTTGAGGCTGCAACCACGTCAAGTGACGATATGGTTTCAGAACAAAAGGGCGAGGTGGAAATCCAAGCAAGTTGAGCACGATTTCAGGCTCCTCAAAGCCAAATTCGATTAACTCCTCAAAGCCAAATTCCATTAAGTTTGATGTTCTTAAGGAAGAAAATGAGATCAGTCTTTCAATTCTTAAGCGGTTAGACAACATTGGGCCTTTTCTTATGGTCTTAATAATTTAATTGGACTCTTATCTTTTATTTTTGAAAATGAGTCTTGTCTTTTTAATTGGACTAAATGTACCTACACCTAATGTATAGTATAGGAGCTCCACGTGTGCCTGTTGCCGTTTCTTTCCCTTCATCATCGACTTTATTGCGTTTTCTGTGCCCGAAACTAACGAATGGTGTCTTCGGACGGTGGAGATTACCGTTCGAACGCGAAGAAGGAGAAACAGAAGAAACTGAAGAAGCTAAAAGATCTAGAGAGGGAAAAGTCACATCGAAAAAGATCGAAGAAACATGGGTATGTGGCTAGCTAGGGATTTCATTTCAATTAAACGCAATACGGTACTTGTTTTGTCCTTTTTTGCTTTTCATCTATCCGCAACTTCAATGGAGTCTAGATATATATGGTGTGGGAACCGATTTGTGTTTATTAATACCTTTTACTCAGTTAATTTTGTCGATATATGTATGCATTTGGATAATCTTGCTTACCTGCCTCTGATTATATCTCTAATGCATTTGGATATTTCTTTATTGCATTAAATTTAACGTTGCCTCCTGGCTGGGTACTGATTTCGACAGACTTATACATAGATCGGGTGGGAAGGCACCTCCTGTCCAGCTATCTTACACGCATAGTGTGGTGCTCGATGAATGGTCCAGTCTTCGAGCAGCACAGACTGCCTTATCGGATTTCAACGAGAGAAGGCAATTTGATGAACAGGTTAATTAGTTAGTCCAAATTGATTATTATCATCAATCAACCAAAAGGAGTAGTTTAAGATCTTATACTTTCGCATACTGCTAGTAGTTTTTTAACTTATCAGAAATGGCATTAGGAATAGTAGAGTAGCTTAAGATCTTATATACTCCGTATTACTGAGCAAACTGGCAGAGCTAGGGGCCAACCTAGGCCCCAATCCACCCTAAATTTAAAAATTGCGTTGATTTTTGCGTAAAATTTTTCGTGAAATCCCTCCCCAAAAATATTCTTTGTACCGGCTCGGTGGCTGGCCTAATGCTCTAGCCCTGCCCCTGTACAGTGTAATTTATTAAGTCGATTGACTCATTTTATCAACAGGGTCCTCATGAGGAGTATGAGCTTGTTCAAGCACTTGGCTGTGCTTATACGATGTCACCTGATGCTGTGTATCCTTCTTGTCTGCATTTCAACTTCATTGCTAGGCCGAAAAACAAAAAAAGCGAATCACTGGTGGTGGAGGAGGATAATAAGCTCTTTTTCGGGGAAGTAAAGTGCTCATATATTAATGGTAGTGACTCTCGCTGTAGTTTTTGCTGCATCTTAGGGCAACCTGGTACTGTGACAGGGCTTTGTGGATGTGATTTACATTGTCGTTACTGTCCTGAACTCATCCAACATCCTGAAGGAGGTGGATACCGAATGTCTTACAAGCCCGTGGTGCGCCTTATGATGGGAGAGGAATCAGAGAATTCAGAGTAACATTTTTAGAAGTATTGGTTTTTCAAATGTTCTCACCATCCGCTCATTTTAATATGCAATTGTCTTTGTTTTTTGCTCAGCTCCTATTTTGAACTCCATAATGACCGTATCTCTTTAACTCTTTCGATTTCCCACTCACCTCATTATACTAAATTTATGTTTTTCCAGATGTATGCAAGTTGTAAATCAATAGCATTTTTCAGGCTCTTCATTCTGCTTGAGTGTAGGGGTGGACCGGATCGATTCTAGCTTTCAAACTGGACTGCCCACAGTATTATATGGTGTAGACTGGGTAGGGTTGGTTCCGGTTTATCAGGCCGTTTATATTACAGAGTAATACGATAGTACATTTTTTTGTTCGAACAGTCATATACCAATCAACCACTATACTATACTACATTCACTAGTGTAACACCCGGGACATGTCCCGGTAGTGTTACTATGATATGAGCTCAGGTGATAAATACCAATAAACATTGTGACAAATTGGATATGATCAAAAGTTTGATTATAATTGTCTTTTACTACGTATGACGGTATGAACTAACCACCATCGTGAAAGACATGTGAGGAATCAACATCTAGAGTATGAATTTGTGGTTATAGTGTGGTTTAAGTGCTAGCGGCTGTAATAGTTATTAATTATTTATAGGAAAAATTGATAGTAATAATCCCAACTATTAGCGGTCCGCTTATTATAATCTCAACTATCGATTATTTCAGAATAATCCCATCTTTAGGGACCTTCCGCCAATAATGGTCCCTATAAATAAATTCTTGTAGTTTCTAAAGTGGATGAAGAGAGATATAGCAAGTAATCCCTATAAATAATCCGAACTTTTAATTTTCACACCTAATTTCTATTTAAAATTTACTTTTTTAGGAGGTAATATTTGGTCATGGACCATTATTGGCAGAGGGTCCATATAGTTGGGATTATACAAAAATAATCAATAGTTGGGATTATTATCTGCGGACCGGCAATAGTTGGGATTATTATTTTCAATTTTTCCTTATTTATATGCCTGATTATATGATGAATGATGATAAGAAGAACTGTTGAAGTGGAATTGTGAGTATTTAGAGTTGCATTATTTTTTATAGTGGTGTTGTACGATTAGAGTCTCGTTCACGTGAATAAAAGTTCCACTATTTAAAAAAAATGATTGTGCATTAGAGCCTTACTCAAGTACGTAAGATTAATTTTGTATGATTAAAGTTCTCTTGCGTTTAGAGTCTCATTAATTAAAGAATTTATGTTCTACAATTTTTTGAAATTGAACTGATATGATATTTATTTCGAGAATTGTACTCCAATCTCCATTAATGCAGTTGATACTGAAAAGTTACTATATTCACCTGATATGAATATTTATGCTCCGGATTGAAGTTTTTAAGATCAGTTATGATCTAGAAATTTTCTGATCTAGTCTGATATGATATGATCCTATATAAATCTTTGATGTCTGAATCTTTTTGATCTGATATGAGCTTTTCTAATTTTGATCTGATCTAAATCATTTCGATCTCATGTACTCCGTAATATTTTTATGTGATTGATTGTTTATTTGTATTATTAAGTTATTATTATTATCATCATAACTATAATTATAATTATCATTATAGCTATAAGTATAAAAATACTCCGTATAATTATTACAATTAAAACTTTAGCTATAGTTATAACATCATTATAATTACTATAAGTACAAAAAAAATTATTATTATGAAATTTCGTTATAGTTATCCTTATTTTTTAATCACAATTATCACTATAATAAGTGTTATCAATACCATTATAACATGTATTATTATTTATTACTATGAGTACTCTTCCGGTCAGGAATTCCTGACCAGAACTGCCGTCCGGACGGCAGCGTTTGGCCGCCTTCCCGGTGGCATTTTTTGATGAAATTTGTATGACATGTTCTCCATCAAGTCTAGTTTATCCACAAAATATTTCAGCCAAAAACTCAATCGGGAAGGTCGTCAAATGATTTTTGCAAGTTAACTGGTCCGGAATATGTATTTTCTGGACCAGTTAACTTGCAAAAATCATTTGACGACCTACCCGAATGAGTTTTTGGCTGAATTTTTGTGTGGATAAACTAGACTTGATGGAGAACATGTCATAAAAATTTCATCGAAAAATTCTACCCGGAAGGCGGTCAAACGCCGCCGTCCATACGGCGGTTCCTGTCCGGAATTCCGGGCATGAACATTTGTGTCATTACTATTATAACTAACTCATAGTAATAGTAATACTACATCTTACTGCTTATAATGCAGTGATGGACTCGGGTTGGGCCACCCAGCCCGTTACTGTGCGGGACTAGGACCGGCCCGCTACTGTGCGGGACCAGGACCGGCCCGGTTCTCGGGTCCGGGTCGGGCCTACGCCTGGGGGGAGGGCGGGTCCGGGCTCGGGTCTCACATTTGGCAAACCGGCCCGGCCGGGTCGGGCTTGGGTCCGGGCCAAATTGATTTTTTTTCCCCCCATTTTTTGGGGTTCCACCCGGGTTGGGCTTGATGGTTAGGAGGGGTTTGGGGGGGGGGGGGGTACGAAAGCAAAAAAAATACCCAAACTGGAGGCCTGGCCCGGACCCGGACCGGACCCGGTGGCTACCCGGGCCGGTCCCGGGTCCACCATCCCTTAACCGCCGGCCCGACCCTGCTCCATCACTATTATAATGGTATTGATAACGCTTATTATAATGGTAATCATAATTAGAAATTATGTTTGAACCTTTTCTGTTTGATTTGATTGCTTGTGGTCTGATCTAAATATTTTTTTACCTAATCTGCATCTTTTCGATATGGTCTGGTGCGAACGTTTATGATTTAACTCGATCTGGTTTGAATGTTTTGGTCTAATGTGATTTGACTTTTTTGTGAGATCTAATATGAATAAAACGTGAGAGTAAGAGAATATTTTGTAAGGATATGCTATTTAGTTTTTCCTTCAGACTTTTCAGTAGCCGTTCCATCTCTATTACAAACTAATTAAACATTTTAATGCGTGGAGTCTACATAATGCCAAGTTAGTTATTTAAATTTTTTCCATCCTACATTGTTTTCTCTCTTTTCCATTATAAATGTTCCATCGTCTTTTTGTTTGGAACTAATTAAATGTTTTCATAATAATGATATTTTTGTTCACCAATAGTAGAATAACATGTAAGCAGTTTGTAATTCTGTTTTACTAAATAAAACAATATATTTAAATATTTAATGGAAGTTGGATCCCTCACATGTGTCACGGCTATTGTGTAAATGTACATTTCCCATAACACACATTTACAACTCGAGTTTTACTATAAATTTAATATATCATTGATTTATACCTGATTTTTTATAATTTTTTTTATTTATATATCTAGTATTGTTGTCACTTGAGAGATCATAAAACGTTGTGATTTTTTATATATGTTTTGTAAAAATTGGAGTACAACAAATTTATAGCACTTAGAAAGAGAATATTTCTCACCCCGTTTCTCAAAATGAGTTAACTTGATTTATTAAAATGAATAACAATGATGCACCAAGTGAACTTGGATTGTGAAATTATTTAGTACTAGTGAAAACAAATTTTTTATTAATCAATAAGAGACTGACACATCATTCATTTGTAATTCAATTTTATTATAAAAAATAATAATTATATATGTGCAATATTGGTGTCATATAAAAGATTATAAAAAATATGAATTTTGATACATTTCTTATAAAAATTGGAGTACCAAAAAAGTCATAGCACTATAAAAAAGAATATTTTTGTCCTCCCCTTTCTCCATTTAGCGTGATTAAAATGAATAACAATGATGCAGCGAGTGAATAGCAGTGATGCACCGAGTGATCAATAGTGATGCACCAAGTGAACTTGGATTAATTAAATGTTTTAGTAGTAATGATAATAAATTTTATATTTACCAATAAAGACTGACACATCATTGCATTTAACTCAATTTTATTATATAATTTTTACTTTTATTTATATTTATGCAATATTGGTGTCATATTAAAGATCATAAATAAGCATGAACTTTGATGTTTTTTTTTGTAAAAATAGAGTACAAATTAAAAAATGTACAACTATAAAGAAAGAGCTGATACACAGAGTGAATATCAATTATGAACCGAGTCAACTTAATTAAATGAATCATATGTTTTAGTAGGAGTGAAAATGTAATTTTTATTAATAAATAGAATTTCTAACTCAGTTTTACTTATAAAACATTTTTTTATATATGTAATATTAGTGTCATATGAAAGATAATAAAAATTATGAATTTTGATATATATTTTGTAAAAAGTAGAATATAAATACAATAGTTGTCTCAATTTTTATAAAAGAGTTTTTTTCACTCCAAACCAACGGTGATGCACAATTGTAGGGAATCAATAGTATTAATATTAATTGATAAGCCGTGATTTTTGAAAAAAAATGCCAAATATTATATTAATAAATCGTGCGCCAATCGGCTTACAATAAATGAAGGTGGACTAGAAAAGCTAGAAACACAATCAGACTTAGAAACAGCAACTCTTGCGATAGCATGAGCTACTTGATTCGCTGATCTTCCACACCACTTGATTTTTAGATTAACATTATCACTCAAAAGAGATTTTAAATCATCAAAAATTAGACCAACTTGAGATGCATCTCGATCCCCTTCAATCCCCGCTACCACTAATGCTGCATCTGTTTCAACAGTTACATGACCCCACCCGTTATCTCTCGCCCAAAAAATAGCCTCTCAGACTCCTAGAGCTTCTGCTTCCACCGGAGACAATGAAGCTGTAGCACACCTGCTGCGAGCTTTAATAAAATTGCCTTCATTGTCTCTACATACCCATCCCCAAGCCCAACGCCTAAACCTGGAATCATTGGCTGCATCAACATTAATTTTAACACAATTAATCTCAGGTTTCTTCCATTTGGATATGGTCGGATTAGCCCTCATTGCTTGATTGTCATCTTTCCGGGCTGCTCTCCAGCTTGTTAGCATGGATTCTGCCACTCGGCCCACAACTCCTGGAGAAAACGCTTCTGCCTTCCACACAGCTGCGTTCCTAGCTTTCCAGACACTCCACATAAGCATGATAAGCCTGGAGAGATCCTCCTCCCCTAACTTGTTAAACACGAACTGAAGCCATTCCTCAAAAGAAAGTTCCCTCAACGAATCTGCTAGACTTGCCTTCTGCCAAGTCTCCCGCACTGCCGCACACTCTAAAAACAAATGAGTTGCTGTTTCATTCTCCAAATTGCAGACGGGACAAACTCCCAATACCTGCACCTGTCTAGCTCTCATAACATCGCTTGTAGGTAGAAAACCGTTAGCAAGCTGCCAAAAAAATAATTTCACTTTATGTGGAATACGAAATTTCCAAGCTATGGTCCACCCGATCCATTTTGTTGCCTGAAACTCGCCCACAAGTCTCCTGTAGCAGCTACGGACTGAAAAATTTCCTTTGGCCTCATCATTCCAACGGTACCCATCATCAACCTGATTAATACTTAAAGGAATGCTCTGAATTGCACAAGCTT